GTGCTAAAGACCCGCAAACAATGAGCTCCTACAGCACCACACGGCTATAACCCACTGCATCATTAACTGGCCACAGCTTCAAGCAGACCTAGTGCCTCAATACTGCGTGTGGAAGCCAGGCACAAGAGCTGTGGAGGCTGTCAGCCATAAGATCACCCTCTTTGTTGCTGTAATTGAGTCAGGTCCAGCATCAGGAAGCTGGCAGCTGCGGCTCAGGAAGTCTGCTCCGCACTGCCCATTACCTCTGCTCAGCTCAGGTCCCCACCCAGGGCTTCCAACCAGATCACCAAGCCACACTAAAAATAGCCAGCTCACAAAACCAGCTCTTGGCTCTAGCTGCTCCACCCTCAAAGTACAGAGACTAACTATACTGCCTTCCGCGAACAAAAGGAGAATTCACTCCTCCATCTATTTATAAGCTGCTTATTCACAGCTTGTAAGCACAAATTCTTTTCAGATGAGGAGCTTCGAGGAAGAGATTATGCTTTTTCTGGTTCCATGTTGCACAGAGCCCAGCACCCAACCTGGTCATTCCTTCACCGTCTGAGGTTTTTCTTTCTTTCAGCTCTCACATCTAGTCTTGTGGCTGTCTTGCCTGCCAGCATGCGGAATGTGATGCAATCCTGCTCCCATGCCACGCTGAGAATGCAGGTTTGCTGGTAGAGCCAGGCACATGCCAGGTGTATTCTGGTTTGACTAGTATAAGGCATCTTTATATTAATATAAAATGTTTGTATCTTCTTTACTCCACTTTTGACTCATAGCATATCTAGAGGACAAAAGGCATCACTGGACACCATGTCTAGGCCAGCGTTCCCAGCTTTGGCTATGCTGGAAGAGCAGCAATAATGAGAACAGTGGAAAAATGTTAGGTTAAAGACCAGGTTAAGTCTCCCTGTCTTGCTGCCCAGCCCCATGCAACTGCTTCACTTCAGTGAGAGCTCCCACTGCTGCTGCCTGGCTCCTGGCAGCTTCTCCAGGCTTATGATGGAAGTGTCAGAGAAGTCTTCAAAATCCACCACAAAATAAGCAATGCATTAGTCCATCTTCCACAACTGGCTTAGTGAGTTGCCTGCAAGCCACAGGTTGGTTGATCAATACACTAGATATCCAGAAGCCAAAGATACACCTGCTAGCCAACTCTGTGTAACTTATTAAAAAAAGACTGTGTTTATTAAAGATTTCCTGTCCAAAAGTGCAAAAATAAGTATTAGTAACATTAAAGTGATGGACGTCTCCATGGCATTTGTCCACACTTACCAACAAGAACTTCAGCTAGGCTAACAGCTCTGCATTTCAATCCCCAGAAAGACTGGGACAGCTGAAAGCTTCCAGGTTTTGCTAACAGACCTGGAGAAGCATCGAGCCTTCAGCACAGCAGATGGCGTGAAGACAAATGTGCTGGCTTTAAATTCAGCCAGCTCCGCCAGCAATGAATAAGTGGCTGCCTTCAGCAGTCCACCTGCACCTTCGGGTGGCCAGCCTGTGCTGAAGCTATCATTACAGCACTTAAAGAGGCGCCATAAAGATACTGGCTTGTCAGTACCACACCCACACTTAACTCTAGGCCAAATTCAACCTGGTCTTCCTGGAGGTGGGAGAGCAGTGTGGGACCAGCTGAGCACACCGCATCCCCTTAACCAACTCCCTGTGATGGGCTGCCTGCAGGACTTCTACTCTGATAACAGAGCTCCTTCCTTCCAAGCCAGGAGAAAGCTGAGATCCAGAAAGACTGCTTGGAGAAGTCTTTCTTTCCCTTTGTGGATAAGCGGTTGGATGGGCAAGGCTACCTTTTACAGCAGTACCTGGTGGAGAATGGAGTATGGAGACTCTTGGTCAGCTCACATTGGGAAGAGAGAGTGAGCAGAGTTACCGGTCAAAGCCACTGCTGTGGTGCTACAGCATCTCTCAGAATGGGACCATCCAGTAAGGACTCCCGGAGGCTCTTAAAGCATTTGTCAGAGAAACAAATGGATGCACCACAATGCATCTCTCCTGCACGACTACATCTCTGATGGGATGAGTTCAGTTTCTGCAGGAAAGAAGCTGTGTCACTGGCTTAGCAAACCCTGGGTCAAACCTGAGCAGCAATGAGATCCCACTGCTCTATGTCATGAAACACTCCAAAGGGCATCTCGGCTCTCCAGGAGGGCAGAGCAGGGAAACATGCCAAAAGCAACCCCAAGGGAAGAGTTTCATTACTAAAGAAAGACTAAAGCAAGTCTTGTTTGCTGTGTGCTCCCGAAAGGTATTTGGCAGATAACATCTCAGTGTACAGAGCACAAGCCTGCTTCCTTGCCTATTTTAGCATACTATCTTTAACCTGCAGTCAAGCATTTTCAGACGGGTTTGTCCATCTCTATTCTTTCCACCTCCTGGTATACTTTTTGCCACATGAAGCCATAAACTAGTAAGAAAGTCAGCTGTGAGAGCTGGCAAAACATATCCCTGCAAAAAAAGCAAGTCAATCTCTTGCTTGTTTAATTCCAAGGTGACGGTGCAGCTGGGCTTGTCTTCCTTTATGCCTCTTAAGAAAAATCACGTTTTTTACCTTTAGTTCTGCATTTTTGGTTGGCATATTTTAATTAAGTGGAGCTAGGAGTCCAGAAATCCGCTCTTAAATTTTTTTTCCTCTATATGCAATTCTTGCACATTTTGACAGTTACCTGTTCACAGCTGGCCTCAACTTCTCACTAAGAAGTCTTGGCAGTCATGACTCCCTGCTTGATCAGGCTTTTGCACCACAAGAGAGAAGGAAAAACTAGAACAATGGGACATGTGATTAACACGAGCCAAAAGGTGGCTCAGAAGGGTAAAGCCATTTGACTCGCTTTTGTAAATAATTTGATTTCAAGTACTGGGGGGAGTGGGTGTGGAATTAAAGACTGTTAAGCATTGATTAATATTTTACAGTTCAAAGTCCAGAAAAGCAGTACAACAGGCCCTGCTGAGTGCAGACACAACCAGGCCTGTTCCATTTTCACATGCCACCAGTCAAAAAATCTAATATTGGATCCATATACATCAATAGCCACTCCATGCTAGCTTAGTAGGCCAGCTACAATATTTTGTCCCTACCCTGCTTTGATCCTGTATGTTAAAGAAGCCTTTGAAAATCATCACCATAGGAGCCTTTACAGGGTTAGCAGAGCTCAGGACCTTTAATATCTGCACACCAGTTTGAAGAGAAGGAGCAAGTGCAGAACCATGGAGGATCTAAAACCAACAGTGCCTTATTCAGAGTTCTCTGGCCAAGTGATAGAGCTTTTTCCCCATTTAAAAG